ATTAGCTGGGGGGAGGGGGTGTCCATGTTCCATACCTGAAGTATCCATGGGAATAACATTTGTAGATCATCCTAGAAATATATTAGTACTCTATAAGTACATTGTCATCGATATAAAAAAATAACTAAGGGCATGACTGAACTTCAGTGCCGCCCCTCGCCCTTCTGCCACGGCGACGCTCCCGTTCCTCCCACATTGCTGGTTTCCCAATGTTAGTTTGCTCCATCATGCCGAGCGCAACATTCTCAACTTCTTGTCGATGCCATACATGAACCATGCCATGGAGCATTCGCCGATGAGCTCAAAGTGAATGACAACGGAGGAGGTCGGTAGTGGAGGCTTGGGAGAATGGAGAACCACCGAAACCTGGCATGGAGGGCGTCAATGGATCAAGGTGGGTGCCCTGGAAAACATGTGGTTGCATAGGAGGTTGCTCTACACGGTGGTGGAGGAGGTCAGGAGAGGCTGCTCTAAACGGTGGTGGAGGAGGTCAAGAAGAGGAGTACGTCGACAGTGGAGCACGTCGAGAGGCGGTTCAGACAAAGAAGGATGACCAGGGAGGAGCTCAAGAATGGCGTCAAGGCCTGGAAAGGACAATGAAGCTTGGGAATGACAACGCAGGAGTTCAGACTGGAGCGGCAAACCTACAAGGAGCGATGGGAGGAAGACAGAGGTGGATGCATGTGTCATCGCCGTCGCGTGAGAGGACAGAGATGGTGTAACCACTTACGGTGAAGTTTTCTCAAGCGTTTCAAAAATGGTGGTAAGTGGCCCTTTTTTCACCCGTAGGACAAAATGAGTCATGTATGATCTTTTTGGTGCTTCCTACTGTAGGGGCCGGTATGAGATTCCTGCAGGAGATGATATAGTTTGCCTTGACATCAATAAATTACAGGTGTTGTTGGATATGCTCCAAGTCAGTCGGGAAGGAGATCATACATGCAGGATCAGCTTGTGGAGAAGGAGATCACATATTCTAACGAGGCGTTTGGTTTGGCGCAGGTAATGTATTCGTTGCATCGTATCAAGAAGCGTTTCCTTCGAAGTACGCGAATTGTTTGATTTGTCCGTCGAAGTCTTGATTTCTAACCCCGACCGATTCGAGCAGTTTCGATTTTGTGAAACGGAGTATTGAAAAGCGCGCTTATGAAAACCATCGCGGCTGAAACAAACGCTTGCTATGGTTTTAGAAACGGCTGGAATCGAAAGTTGCCCTCTTCTCTACAAATCAAACACGTTGTAAATACATTATGGGACGGAGGGAGTACTTCACATATGATACATGGTTGAACGGCACTGGCACGATGGCTAATCCAGTCATTTTTTTTTGCGGGGTGGCTAATCCAGCCGTTAGCTGTTGTTTCAGATTTGCCCATGGATGATGCGATACACATATCGTGCATGTAGCAATACTTAATGTTTTTCTCCCTATAATTTGGAATTTCATTGAAAAAAAGGTAAATGGGCCATGGACTCATGGGTCGACCGGTCTCTGACCCTGACGAGTGGCGAGCGGGGTGATCCCCTCCTTTATGCGAGACGACCCTTTTGACCGTCAACAAGTTTCATTTCAAAGGCGAAAACGTAGTCCATCCTCCCCTGTTTTTCCGCTACCACCGGCGGCGGCTCCTCGTCAGGAGCGGACTGCCGGCGGCGAGGTGAGGTGAGCCGACGACCTCCGAATGCATCCATCGGCCCTATCCCATCCCATCCCACTCTTTCTACTCCTTGCGCCTTTTGATGATTTCCTTTGCCTCGCACCTCGCAGCACAGTAAGCCAGCCACCTGTTCGACGGAATGCCTCCCGGTGAGAAGGTCGACAATGCGCCGCCGGCGAGCGGATCCGACATCATAGGAACCCTTCCTGACCATATTCTCCACCATCTGCTCTCCTTCCTCCCAGTGCAGGCAGCCGTGCAGACGTGCGTGCTTGCCCGGCGCTGGCGCCACCTCTGGCGGTCCACCACGGGCCTACGAATCGTCGGCCTTGAACGGTGCCGAGTCTGTCGAAGACCTCCGGGTGTTCGTGGACCATGTGCTGATCCTGCGTGAGCGCACCGACCTAGACACTGTTGAGATGATATTCGATGAATGCTCGGACGATGACGAGGTCTATGTGAAACTATGGACCCGTTTTGCTGTCATGTCCAAAGTCCGTGCGCTCACCCTTCATATCCAAGCCCCTCCATATCTGTGGTTCGACGTCCTGCCTCTTGTCTCTCGGCATCTGAGAACATTAGATCTGGAAGGTCTATGCGTACAACTGAGCTTTCTTGATTTTGCTGGCTGCCCAGCACTGGAGGATCTGAAGATGAACCTTTGTGACATTTCTGTTGAGAAGATATTGTCTCGTTCCCTGAAGCATTTGAGCATTACTAAGTGCTGCTTCGATTGCCAGCTCCATGTTTCTACTCCAGGCCTTGTCTCTCTGAAATTAGATGACCTTACCGGCACAACTCCTTTTCTTGAAAACATGGCGTTGTTAGAGACAGCATATGTTTATCTTGGCGATTCCTGTGAAGATTTTTTGAATTATGACTCTGGTGTTTACTGTGGACCTAGTAATATTACATGTGAGAAGTGTGATCTTTTTAATGAAAATTGTGGAAGCGTTCTTGTGCTTCTAGGTGGTATCTCTAGTGCTAAACATCTGAAGTTGATATCTGAATTTGGAAAGGTATGGCACTTGTCTTTAACACCTTTAGGTCATCCCTTTTCGAATGTTGCACTATCTATACAGTTGTCAAACATAGGCAATAAATGGATTACATATGCATCACCACCGATTTGGGTTCTTAAATCATGATCTCGCTTCTCAGTCATGGTTACTTGATTTGTTTACTTATTGTATTTTCTTTCCAGTTCATTTTCTCAAGAGATTTGAAATACCGCCCTACGTTTAGTAAGTTAAAGACATTATTACTCAATGAGTATTGGTGCGAGGCTCCTGGCTTGGATCCACTAGTTTGCATTCTGAAAAACTCACCAGTTCTAGAGAAGCTCACTCTTCAACTTTTTTCCAAGGTATAAATCATCTTAATGGACAATTGCCGCACTGCTAAAGTTATTATCGACTATTAATCTTGCTTAATTTTCTACTTACCATAGGGACCAAATCATAAAGTGGAAATGAAAGGAAGCTTCAGTTCAATGGAAAGATCGTCTGCAATACCAGAACACCTTAACATAGTTGAAGTCAAGTGTACTGTGGTGGACGAGAGGATTCTCAAAGTTTTGAAGTTCCTGTGTGCATTTGACATACGTAAGCTAACTAATGACACTTTGCATGCTCCCTGTATTCTCAAATTAGCTTTCATGTGCGGGAAAGAAACTAATAGAGCAAGCAGTGAAGTAAATCCTGAATTATGTAGGAACTGTTTGTAGGGATACAAAATTGTTCGAGGCATGAAAAAACTTGACCACATCTAGTGAGGCTAAAAGTAAATCCAGCATAATTCATTTTGTTGTTAAAGGATGTTTAATTTAACTGTGTGCAGAAACACGTACCACACCATGTGGACTTGTTGTTGGTTCTGATCTTGTGGGTACTGGCACAAATGTTAGAATTGATTGGTTAGGAGTAGTGATACAACATTTGCACATCTTGCTTAGCTCTGGACAGCAACTCAAATGTGTGCAGTAATACAATATTTTGACTCAATTGTGTTTTTGAATAGTTGGTGCTGATGAGTAGTAACTTTTATTGACACCATGGGCTAAATTATTCAACGGTCGATTTGCTTGTGGTTCCTCACTTTGTTTTGCGATGTCTGTCTCTACAGTTTACATAACATTTTCCTTATTGTAAAAGCCTGTTCATAACATGCCTAGTAGTATATCTTTCATGATTCCTTGTTTCTGCAAAATTTCTTGTGGCTTCTTCTGCATTCTAATCTGGGAGCAGTTTAGCTTAGATGTTTTCGTGTTAGATTATCGCCTAGAAATGGCCGTACCAAATATAAACGAAGTTTGTCCCCATATTGATGTTAAGCTAAGTTGCATTCTCCTTTATACTTAAAGAACATCATTTCAGTTTTCTTTATTTTAGCTGGCAAGTAACTAAACATTTTTTTGCGAGTAACTAAGCATTTTTTACTTCTGCGGATGCAGCGGACTCTTACACTACTGTTTCCATTTCTGTACAGGATTCAGCTTCTAGTAAGGGCGAGAAGATCTGGGTCGTTGGTCATCTATGGACTATTCAGAAATGCAAGGCTTAAGCATATACGTCTACAGTATTTCCATCTCCTTTTGTGACTTCGTCATATGCCAACGCTACTCAGAGGAACGGTGTAGAATCTGCAGTTTATAACCTATGAACTCTATACCGTCTAGCTGGACTTGGTTTATCGTATCTTGTAGTTTCTATATGCACTTGTGGACTTGTGGTTCATGCTGAATCTTTCCAGCTCTCAGACTGGTCATTTTCTTTGGTTTTCGCTCATAACTTGTTCTGCTATGACGTGATCAGTTTATTCCGTCTCCTTTGTCATGATCTGGATATTTGGAAAAGTGAAGCAAGAGGTGTTAAGTTGCATATGTTGGACTCGTCGACTCGCCGCCGTCGATTGTTTGTCGGATGTTTTGCATACATAGGGCAGGGGAAACTGAAAATGAGCTGCAGTTCTGAACATTATGGAATGTTAGCAGCGGTGGAAGGGCTACTCCGAGAGGTGATCTCAGCCGCCTATTCTTCTCAAGTCTATGGAGCAATTGTTGTCCTCGACGCGGCCTGGACAGTATGCTGTTCTGTGCGTCGTTGCTCCTCCTTGTCAAACATGTGCGTGGCTGACTCTACAAGCTTTTCTGCTTCGAAGGGGAGATGGCACCCTTTCGTCCCGGGGAGCGGTAGACCCGCGGCGTTCTCCCCCGCAAGCACATCCTCGGCGTCGGCGCGTCAGGGTCCGGTTCCCCCTCTGCTCTGCCACACTTGAAAGCCGCGGACCATCTCATGTTTGGGCGCCTTTCCGTGCGTTTCTAGGCCTCAGTTGGCGTCCCTTCGCTCATTCACGTTCAGGCTCGATTGGAGCAGTTATTCGAGATGTACTTTTCTTTTTGCGAATCACAACTTCATCAATCAATTAGAGGGATTACAAGGTATTTCCTTGTCTTCAATCGTCATGACAACAACTATAATTTTGTTGGCTTTTTAGAGCATTTCCAATAGTTTGTATGTAAATATGTTGATAAATAGTGGTGTTAGTGCAGACATGCAATTGCCCCTCCCTCAACAAATAACACCAAGTTGCAGTCGCGTTCAAGACATGCAATTGCAGTCGGGCTACACTTGCAGTTGCGTGTTGGTTGCAGATATGCAACCCTCCCCCGACAAAACATCACTGAGTTACAACTGTGTTGAAGATATGCAGTTATAGTCAAGGGAAATTGTGCAATCAAATGACAAATATTTTCAAATGTCAAAATAAAAGTTGTTATTTAATAAATATTTAAAACAAAATGGATAGCAAGTATCTTACTGTTAGCAAGGAAAAGGTCTAAAAATATCAATAAAAAAAGAAAAGGTGATAAGACAAATGAAACAAAAACATCGCAAGTAACACAGACGAAAAAAGTTTAAAATCTAAAAAACTTATATTTTGAGAAATACGATGTCAAACGATACGAACCAAACAAACTAAAAAAGTGTATAAAGGAAACATATAAAAAATGGAAAATATATATTTCATATATACACATATATGTGTGAAATAAACATGGTCATCATGAGTTTAAAAAAATTTATGCACAAAAAATGTCCATTTAAAAAGTCTATATATGTTAAAGACATTGGAGATTTTTTGTAAATCCATACTTTCTACCCCCAGCCCCCTAACGCCTTGCGGTCAAACATCCCCATTTTAATATAAAAGGCAGTAAACAACAAAATGAAACAAAGGGTGAACAACAAAAGAAACAAAAAGAAAAGAAGAAAAACCTCAGGCCCGTCCAACATGCTCCAACCAACAACAGGCCCGACA